AAAAAAAAAAAAAAAAAAAAAAAAAAAAAAATTTAAAAAATAAATAAATAAATACCCACCTAGAGCCACAGCATTCCTTGATTCATCATCCAAGCCTTGATTCATGGCTCCATTCAAAGCCAGCCATAAGGGTTAAGTTATTCTCAGATTACTGCTCTCCAACTCACTCTTCATCAGTCATTGGCTACTTCTATAGACTCTGGTGACTAGATTGGCCCACCAAAGTGCTGGGATTAGAAGAGTGAGCCACCGCGCCTGGCCCAGAAAAATAAAATTTGATGGGGGAAAGGATTTTCCCAAACTAAAGCACTAAATTGGCAGATTAATATGCTGATAAGAAATGGCTTTTGGTTTTGTCTTTTTGAATTTGGATAAGTTAACTTCTCTAAGCCTCAGTTTCCTCATACGTAAAATGGAGATAATTTCTAATAGTATCTGCTTCCACAGATGTGCAAAATATGAGCTAGTGTCTGGCACATAGTGGGTACTGGCAAGTGGGAACTATTATGGTTATTGCAACTCCCAAGGAAAGCCCCCATATCTGCATAAAATAAAAGAACAAAAATAATAATCAATAGCTTGCACTTTAGCTTAAAAATGTCCTCCTTGGTTTGTTTCAGAAAAGCAGTGGATCATCCAAAAAGGCGATTAGGTATCCCCATGGATCGGATTGGTAGAAACCGGCTTTCAAACTCCAGAGGCTAATTGATTCCAAATGTGAGTACAATTTGAGTAAGTAACAATATGTGCAGGCATTTGATTAACATTTCACAATGGACTAATCAATCCATTCTTACTTATAAATCCCCCTTTTGATTTCTTAGCTTATCCATTTACTTTTTCAATCATTTATGTATTGAATTAGTATAGTATATTAATGTTAAATTACTTAAATGATATTTAAAAAGCAAAAGAATGTCCTAGTTCTGTTTCACTCTCCGAAATTAATGATTTAGTTGTTTTCAGACTCCTATGTAATTAACCAGTGGATACTAATATGCAGATAAGGGTTAAAATTCTAGTCAACATATTAAATCGCCTTCATAAATATATAATAATCCTTGTATTATGAAGAAGACATATTCAACTGATGCACATCATTTTGTTTTCAATAAGTACGTTACTAGAACTATAACAGGGAATATAGGAGAGAAAATGTCACAGCAGAAAGAGTTACTAGCCATGGAATCAAAACACCTTATCAAAATCCTGATTCTTTCATTCATTCATTATCTTGTTTCTGTTCAGATGCTTTATTTTTCTACAGCTTGTACATTTAAATAATAAGGTAGTGGTATGAAGATTAAATTAGTTGTTTGTAGTGGGCCTACAATATACTGGATACACAATACATGCAAGTGATAGTTTATATCACAGTTCTGAAAATTTACTCTGTTCCAGGCCTTATACTTAGCACTTTATGTGCATTGCTTCACTTAATCATTTTGTTTCATAAAGCAATACTATCACTCTCTCCAATATCTTGAGAAGTAGTGATATATAAGGGTTAAAGGTGCCAGCTAGAGGGATCAGGCTTTATAGATTCAAATCTCAGGTCATCTATTAATATTCTTAGCTAGGGGAGTTTATTTAAATTCTGAAAGGCTCCTTCATTAAATTATAATGATAATTTTTACCATATAGCATTGTCCTGAGGATTAAATAGATACATATTAAGCACTTAGAATAGTACCTGAAATGTTAACTGCTTAATAATTATTAGTTAACATTATTATTATTATAGAAATAAATGGAAGGATTAGAAATATTGATTTAAACTGCCACCTAGAGCGTAAATGGTACACAGAAAATTAAAATCCAGAAAGGTTACATCTTGAGTAGAGATGTTAAACACAGCATTTAATCATACATATATCCTTTAAACACTAAGTGTTTTTTGAATGTGAAATCTTAGCAATATGTTTTCTTCCAATAGGGCTTATAGAAGATACATACCCACTCCCAAAAAAATAAGACAAACTAGAACTGCTTTAATAATTCGAGGCTAGAGAAGACGGAATTCCGCCTTCTGCTTCTCTCAAGATAACCCTTAGACCAATAACTTAGAGGCCCCAAAACTATCATGTTAGTCCTGATCTTCTCTTCTTCTCTTAATTTAAATCACCCCATTTTTTCCTTTTCCTCATGCTTTAAAACCACAATAAGTAGTCAATATTTTATCTCAACTCTCTCATTCTCAAAAATCACTCATTTAAAATAAATTTCATTATTATGGAGTTAATGAACTACTGCAGCTAATGAATGCCCATAGATATAAGAGAACTTATTGAACACTGCCAAGAACACTGCCTTTTAATCAGCATCATCTCCAAAACAGATTGAACGTTATTTCTTTCATTATTGCCACATTATATTTGAGTAGAAACTAGCTAATTGCTATTTAAAAACAAAGTAATTCTTTGAATCAAGATTTCAGTTCTCCAGTTTCTTGATGTTTTCAGAACATTATGAAGCTGAGATTAAATTAATTAAGTTTGATTGGTTTCCACATATACCTTTACCACCCTTCATTATCCCCCTTCTCAACATTATTGAGTTCAACCACAAGTTATCATAAACAAATTATACAGAGAACTCATTTTCATATGAATTTTTATATGAAGACTGGGCCATAGAAATTTCAGCTAGCTACTAAACTATGAAGAAAGTTTAATGACTACAGTGCTTCCTGAATCACTGTTGGGTGAAATCCAAGTTTGTATGTTGTGTCCTTCCTTCTCTTAGCAAACTTTGTTAACTGATCAGTTTGCTTAACAAAGTTTGCTAAGAGAAGAAAACAAAGTTTGCTAAGAGAAGGAAGAACACAGCATCTTGACAATCACTGTCCTTATATTAAAATCTCAAGGTGATAATATCACAAAAGATATTATCCACACTTAACAAAGTTTGCTCAGAGAAGGAAGAACATAACATCTTGACAGTCACTGTCCTTATATTAAAATCTCAAGGTGATAATATCACAAAAGAATAGATTTAGAAAAGAACTTATCATATATTTTATCTTTTCTGTTCATCAATTATTGTAGGTTCACCTGCTCAACCATTTTGTTTCTATTTATTTCTCTTCACTGTCACCAAGATTTCTCTCATTTTTTTACTTCCTCATGTTAAGTCTCATGTTATGTAGTTTATGAATAACAAAAACACAAAATCATAATATAGTTCTAATATCAAATCAAATTTTCAAAGCTTTTTTCATATTTTTATCTACCGTCACAATATTCCTTTGAATTAAACAGGGGCTGTACTATGTGTATCATTTAATAGATAACAACTTGTAAGTCATTAAATACTCTTCACACAGTCAAACAGCTAAGACATTAAAAAACATAAAGTTTCATTTAATCCAACCCCATTTTTAAAAACGATTCAAGAAAATATAGTTGTGAAAGGAAATTAATGTGTCCCAAGTTTTATAGATTCTTGGGCAGAGTAAAATCTGGGGCCCAGGTCTTTGGACTTAACAGGCCAACATTCTCTTCATGACCCAAAAGGTCTTCTTGGTGCTGAGTTTTCATTGTTGAATGCTAAATTCACTGGTTATACATTTCTAAGAAAAACAGAAATGGTATCTCAGACTTTACAAAAATATTTGTTTCACTTCTGTGCGGGTTGATGGATTTACTTTTGGAGCAGGTTTCTTTGTGGGTTTTCACTTTCTGGGTTTCACTTTAACACTTCACATTAAAAGTAAAACTGCTACCTAATTATGGAAGTTCTGCCTGATTTGAGGTAAAGTCTAGATACGGCTGCTCTATGATACCTAGTTTAGGGACCAAATGCCCCCTGAGGTTTTGCTAACAATCACTGACATGAGATAGATTGATAAATAAGAAAAAAGTCATACAAATTTATTTAACATTTACACATGGGAGCCTTCAGAATAAAGACTCAACTCCCCATTGGGGTATAAATGCTTATATAACATCTTAAGGTTACAGAAAGAATGCAGACTCAGAGCATGGCCACAACCAGGTTTTATTAATTGTTCTAAGACAGGTTATGGTAGAGAAAATGGAAGAGGCTTGGCAAGCAAGGTGGACTTATTATGTAGATGAAGCCTCACTGGTACAGCCCTAAGAGAATTTAGATGCCGAATGTTTATTTTCAGTACTTTAAAGGTATCAAACTCTCAGCTAATCTTTCCTAGATCTGGACAAAGGAAGGGCTGGCTGCATGAATGCAAGGCCTCTACAGATCCACAGATGCAAATTTCCCCCACAAAAGACAGATTTTCAAGATCACTTCAGAATATGTTAAAGAAATATATTTTGGAGTAGAATATTTTTTATTTACTTCAATCCCCACTTTAAAACTTTAAAAGCATTTTACATATTAAAAGCCAAACTAATGACTTTGGAGAGATTTGGATTCAAGATTGTTAGAAACAGACAAAAGATAGATAAATTGGGATAAATAGAAAAAAGTAAATTTAAATATATTATCTCATGTCTTGTTTAGTCAGTCTCTTAGTCCTGAGAATAGATTGGTTCCGTTAAATAGCTGTGTCCCATTCCAGAATGTGACATTGCAGGTGACCTCCATATGTGATGCAGACAAACAGCTCTTTAATAAGAAGTATTTCTGAGGAAACAGAAAAAAGAAATGATTAAACAAAGGTTAAAAACTGTCTAGAACAGTCTATAGTTTTTCTAGAGTCTCTGAGGCATCTTCAGAATGCAATGGCAAGCTCACAGATTATTCTAAATTGTGTTACAAAATAGGGGTTCAGATGAACTTTCTGAGAAGTCCACATTAGCAGGCACGCAGGTTGTTTACATATTAAGTGGCTATTATTTCTCTCAAAGTTTAAGTTGTCTAACTTCAATCTGCAGGGCTTTATAAAAAGCATAGTTTTAATTTCTAAAGATTTCAGGTCAGGAAAAAAATGGAAGAAAAAATCCTTAGTTTGGAGACTTGTAGCCAAGAAAGAATTCAAGATTCAGTCCAAACTACAGGCAAATAATAAAAACACAAAAGCAATGAATACGGCTAGAATCTAATAACAGGTGTCTGTATAGTTTTCTTTTGACACATAATTTTCATCTCTCCACTTCCCCATTTCTACCAAAGACAAGTCATAGTAGAATCAATTTATTTGTGAAATAAGTTTTAGTTGTATTATACTTGGTCTGATTATTTGCATGAAGTATGTGATTGGCCATATAGGGTCTTTTTTAATTGGCTATACTGAGACTTTCCTTATAAGGAATCTCAGATTAGACTTTCAAAAGCTTCTTGAGGTTAACCAAATCAAAGATTGATCTGTGCTTGTACATACCCGTATGGATTGGGTGAATTTCTCTCTTCTCAGGATCTCAAAATAACTTGAGATTCCTGGGTCTGTCGGAAAGTGACATTCTTTAATTCATCAGTCCCCATCATTTTTGGCATCAGGAACCAGTTTCATGGAAGAGAATTTTTCCAAGGGCCAGGGGGGCAGAAGAGGAGATGGTTTTGGGATGAAGCTGTTCCACCTCAGGCAGGCATTAGTTAGATTCTCATAAGGAACACACAACCGAGATCCCTTGCATGAACAGTTAACAACAGGAGTCGTGCTCTTGTGAGAATCTAATGCCACTGCTGATCTGACAGAAGGTGGAGCTCAGGTGGTAATGCCCACTGCTCACTTCCTGCTGTGTGGCCCAGTTCCTAACAGGCCACAGACATATTCTGGTCTGCAACCAGCAGGATGCGAATGGTGCTTTACTTACCACGGGTCAGGAACTTCGTAAAGAAATGACATAGGCAAGATATCAGGCAAGTCTTTCCAAGAGGCTTTATATTGGCTCTCTCAATTACTCAAAGTAGTCTGGACATTTCTGAAAATATACAATTCCAGTCAAAGCCTTGATGAAATAACCAGTGTCTGCAATTGTGTACTGTTAAAAAAAGAAAACATATTCTCGCTGAACTTATACAAAACACAAATCCTATAAACTAAAAATGCTCACAAATAGTTTCTAAATTCTGAAGAAGGCAGATAGAAATATGCTTCAAATTTTGTTCACAAAAGTATACGTTACCCAATCTGTTGTAAGATATAAGAAGTAGCTAAAAAAAAAAAAATGTTTTTATTCTGAAAAAAAAAACCCAAATAATCAGCAATGTTTCAAACAAAAAAGTCATTAAAATGATTTCAGTTTTCTATTACTTTTTGCCAGTGTAATTAAATCTTGTTCTGCTTGATGTTGGGTTAGCAAACACATACACACACACACACACACACACACACACACACACACACACATTGACATGGCTTTTTATAATCTTTCTTACCAAAAACGTACTTTCCTTATATACTTTGCATATTTTTCCCTTATATCTAGTAGTTTTGACTATATATACTTATTACAATGCTAACAATTAGTAACTCTTATTTTAGTAAAAAACCAAGGAAGTAGGTAATTTTAATTACATGTCAGATGCAGAGCCCAGGAAAAAAGACAATGCCTGGAGAATCTAATCTCTCTCAGCATCTCCCAGCAGGGGAGGCACAACTGGGATAGGAGAGATGGACTAGGTGTTATCCCCCAGCCTTATCATGGGCATTTGTCTAGACCTCTGAATAGAAAAACTCAAATCAAGATATACAGACTTGGAAACAAGTTAATCAAGTATCAAAAATATCAAGCAACATATTTGTGGCCATAAACCTGCCTGATCAATAGACTCAGACAAAAATGTCTAAATTAAAATTCCGAAGACATTTCAATCTTATTCTACCAATAATTTTAAAACTATCTTTATTTCTCAAAGATTGCTAAAATCACATGAACTTGAAAAGCATTTGGCCTTTCTTAATTTATGAGTACTCATTTATTTTTAAATTAATGCGGTACCGTGTGTAGACAATTATTAAATATGTATAGCTATAAATACATTTATACACATACATGTATGTATAGAGAGACACAAAGTATAGTATACACATCCGCACACTGAGAGTTTATTGTTTTGATTTTAGAATTTTAGCCGTATGACAGGTAAAACTCACTAGACTAAACAAAAAACAGTTCGATCCAAACTATGCTTTTATAAATGGAAAAATTTACAGTTTATCTGGAGAAGCCCTTCTGGGTTTCAGAGAAAACAGGTAGCAAATTTCTATCTCAAAGCACAGAGAAATTTTGATTTTTCAAGAAGCTTGTGTATGTCAAAGGAAGATTTAAAATGAATGCCAAGAGTCCTTAGGAATTAACCATAAGATTGCATAAGGAGAGCAATCTCATTTAGATAGGTAGCTTTTAATTCAGTCTGTGTTTTTCGAGTGGACCACTGAGCTCAGAACAGAACTCATTAAGGAACAAACCTAAGTTTTTTTAGTTTATAGGGCCTAATAATTTAAATATGTAAAAAGTGGATGTAGTTAAAAGGCAAAGCATTTAGATGTTTAAAAATCAAGGGTTTCTGAGAGTTGAACAATGAGAACACATGGACATAGGGAGGGGACTATCGCGCACCTGGGCCTGTGGCAGCATAGAGGGAAAGGGGAGGGAGAGCATTAGGAGAAATACCTAATGCATTCCGGGCGTAAAACCTAGATGACAGGTTGATGGGTGCAGCAACCAACCATGGCACATGCATACCTATGTAACAAGCTTACACATTCTGCACGTGTATCCCAGAACTTAAAGTAAAATAAAACAAACAATTAAGGATTTCACTGAATCCCAGGTCTTCCCAAAACAGGAAAACTCCATGGAGTCCTGGCCACACAAGATTTTCACAGGGCACTATACTGCAAAGACAGTTTTCTAGATGTTTAAACGGCACCATTTCTTATCTAATGTGCAAATAAATGAGCTCCCTGCAGTAACAACCATTTATTGGAAACAACTGTAGTTGGCCCTCTAACACTATTACGCTTGCCTAGGAGTGAGAGTACTCAGAGTAACCTTCTTCTGAGTTCCTTGAGTGTGAGTTGTTAGAAGTCTTCTCTAGATCTTTTCCTGTGGTACCAAAAATGACAAAGAGGAAGGAGGAGAAGTAAAAGTAAATAGGAGAACAATCTTTTTTTTTTCTGGAGACGGAGTTTCACTCTTGTTGCCCAGGCTCAAGAATGGTGCAATCTCAGCTCACTGCAACCTCTACCTCCCAGTTTCAAGAGTTTCTCCTGCCTCAGCCCCTCCAGTAGCTAGAATTACAGGCATGCGTCATCACACTTGGCTAATTTTTTGCATTTATTAAAGACAGAGTTTCACTATGTTGGTCAGGCTGGTCTCGAACTCCTGACCTCAGGTGATCCACCAACATTGGCCTCCCAAAGTGCTGGGATTTACAGGCATGAGCCATGGTGCCCAACCTGGGAGAGCAATTATTAAGAAAAGAAGGGATCCTGTTTTTGGAAATTGTTTTTCAGTGGACTAAAACTTTTTTCATTTTTTAAATGAGAGATTATGGGAGAAAAGAAAGAGGCTTGGCTAGCAAAGGTAGTCTTGTTATGTAGTCTTCAGAGAGAATAGATGGCAAATGTTTCTTTTCAGACCTCTAAAAGCGCTAGACTCTCAGTCTTCCCTAGATCTAGACAAGAGGAGGGCTGGCTGCATTCATGCAAATTCTTCACAGACACAAATATCCACCCACAAAAGACAGCTTTGTGGAGCCACTTCAGAATATGTCAAAGAAGTATATTTTGGGTAAAACATTTTGATTTCTGTCACTAGTTCCTAGGCCAAACACTAATTTCTTCTCTGATACATATTATGAAAAGGACGATAATTTGCTACTTATGCAATGGCTTTCTCAAATCATTAATATATCGTGCCAAAGCTTTGAGTTTTTAGTAAGCTTTAGCTCTAAGCAACTCAAATTCAAAGAAGTATTTTGTCTAAGTTTTCCTAGCTTTTCTAGATGAAATTAGCACATTCTAGTTCTGTGCCATTGAAATCAGAATGTCAGCCTGATAAAATTAGAAATGTGACCATTGGCCAGGCACCGTGGCTCACACCTGCAATCCCGGCACTTTGAGAGGCCGAGGCCGCTGATCACCTGCGGTCAAGGATTCGAGACCAGCCTGGAGAACATGGTGAAACCCCATCTCTACAAACAATACAAAAAAATCAGCCTGACGTGGTAGCGCATGCCTGTAATCCCAGCTACTCAGGAGACTGAGACAGGAGAATCACTTGAACCCAGGAGGCGGATATTTCAGTGAGCTGCAGTTATGCCATTGCACTCCAGCCTGGGCAAACTACACCTGAAAAAAAAAAAGAAAAAGGAAAAGAAATTTGACAATTAATTTCTGCTACCACTTGCTGGCACATCCATTAAGACTTTTCTTCCAATAATGTGAAACACATGTTGCTCAATTATACTGAAAATTATTATTTTAGATTAATATTGACATATATTGACACACCATCATTCAAATAAGTTAACATAACTCTCAAATACAACAGAAATCTTGTTAAAATGGCAGTATATGTTTGGATTTTTGGTAGAATGTGCAAAATGTACAATTTTCAATGTGTTATAATACTCAGAAAGTACTATTCAGGTTTTATTTATCCTTTTGTTTGTCATGGTGATATCCTTTGAACAAAGATTAAAAACTCAAGCAAAATAGAATATAGTTGGTACTTGAAGAAAGGAGTTGTGAAAAAGCCTTTTTATAATTTGTATTAAAACTTGAGCATAAGCACTTAGGTTATATGTTTAAAATATTATTTTTAATGCATTTTGAACTGAAATTGTCATTTTGAATTGTTGTCTTCAAAATAAAAATTTGCCATGTAAATAAAAACTATAATGAAACAGCAAGTAATTAAAGATTTAATTCTTCTCAAGTGAAGTTGGTGGACTTCCACCTGATCTACAGAGTACTCATTAGCTTTAACCATCTCAACTTTCACTTTTGCAGATGCGACTTCCTTGGGTGAAATGCCACAGAAATATGGAAGATGCTTCGGTAAACTTCTTCACGCTTCTTAATGAGTAAACTTTTAGGGAACTGACCTTCTGCAAATCTTTTGTAAAGCTTGAACTTCAGCCCATCACATTACAGCATTGTTACAGCTTCAATTAAATTGCGTAAATCATTTTGAGGCACGTATATTTTAAAATTATATACTTTATTCAGGAATGGTTAACTTCTCCTCAAACCTTACTTATCAAAATAATAATTAAAAAACACAATACAGTGAAGTGCCTTTTATGTGCATTTACCCAGTCACGTTTGTAGTCAAAAAATAACAAAAGACAGATTTTCTTCTGTAAAATTTAGATATGATTAGTTTGTTCATCATTATTAGGGAATAAGGAAAGGCAATGCTGTGTATTTTCTCTTATGTACTTTTACTTCTCTATATTCCCTTTTTCCAAGAGACTGGTAATAATTATGAAGTTAGGCTTCTCTTATCCTATTCAAGTTTCAATCATGTTCAGCAAAATAAAACACAACCCCAGTGAGCATATTGTCTTAGAATTAAGAAAGCGAAGGACATTACTCATTTGTTAAAGTTGGATATCCCTTGTCCCCTAAAAATTTTCCATTTTTCTAAATTTTAACTGATCGTTAAGAGCAGCAGTGGCTCATTAGGAGGGGAATAAGTACACGCAGAAGTAAAGATGAAAGTAGGAGGGAAGTCAAAAAATTACCAAGTAGTAAACCACCAGAACAGGTTAGGGCCAGTTAACTACACATCATTTTAGCTCAGTACATTTCAGCATAGTATAAGGTGATCTTTTTGATACCGTGGAATCATCTAAGAAACTGTTTACTCGGTTTCATATATTGGCTTATTTGGTTTCAATTGTCTTACTACCCTTAATATGCCAGTTGAAGTTCATAATGATTTTGAGAATGATTTCTTTAAAATGATTCAGATTATTTTTGAATGACTATTACAACATAAATTTTGGTATTCTAGAAAGCTTAATTCTCAGCAATAACTATAATATTACTGTGGCTTGGACACATAGGCCATTGTGCATTGAGTATACTTTCAAAACACACAAAAAACATTCTGTGGAACAGAGATTCATCATAAGTTACTTAGCAGAAGTTTATAAAGCATCTGAAAAACACTTCCTCTGTAAACTCTAAAAATCACTGTCTGATACGTGGGAGGAAAAAGAATTTGGCTAGTAGAGCAAAGGCTTATTTTAGCATAAAAAGAGAGTGTTGTGAGAAGGTGTCTTCATATCAAGAAGAGAAAAATGGAAAATTGCTAATTTTAACTAAATATTAATGGACTTGTATGATCCAAAGAATAAAATAAACTCAAAGAAACATAATGAAAATACATTAGAAAAAAGTTAAACTAAGAAATTGACCTTTATAAAGGACTAATTTTTCAGTTATCCAATGTGCTTTTTAAAGGCAAAGTTTAAAAGGGCCGAAAAGACGTGAAAGAAATGAACATGTGTACTTAGAATATATATTGGTTTTGTATGTAACTTCTTAGTTTTTCTGGACGTTTTTCCAGCTGAAAGTCTTCAAAATTAATTTAGGAAAAAATAGTAAATAAATGGATTTTTAAAAATTGTAGTAGAGGGCTGTAGCAAAGAGAAGTGAATTTTGGGAAAGCTAACCAATTCTCTTTTTCATAACCTTGTGTTAGAAAGCTAGCAATAATACATACGGAAGTATCCTGGAAGACTCATGGTTTGAAATAATTAATTAAGAAGTTGTGATATCTTTTGTCTGCCTTTCCCCAACCTTGTGATAAACTAAAAATGTTTCTTGTTGCTTAGAAGCTCTTTCTTTCCTTGTATTCATGTTTGGATATTTGTAAGCTTCTAATCCAACTCAGTTCTGCTTCATGCTTTGACAAAAGGTATTAAAACCTACTTTAGCCTAAAACTTTCTCATGGTAAATATTTGAAGTTGGATTAAACAAATTGATTTCCTGCATTGTTTATTGTTTAATTCAAAATTACACGATGGCATTCAACTTAGTTAAAATAAGAAGTCACAATATACAATATTGATTTATGCTATAGATTAATGTGTAATGTGTTTTCTCCTAATATGTACACAATTTCCATTAAGGAAAGAAAATGTTTTCTCCACTTATAACTCTATTTTTATTTCATATAGTAATTTTCACCATTACTTCATTCAGAGTAGAAAATAAGTCAGCAATATACTAAATAATAGGGCTATTCTTTTAATATAGCAGTAAATTAAGACAAAATTTCTGTTAAGAATATGACAAGTCATCTCATTCGTTTATCCAATGCATTAGGTATTACTAACCCAACCATATTTAAACTTAAAGGGATTTTTTTGTTTAGTTTCAAAATAATGCGTTACTTTTTTTTTTTCTCTTTGTTTCTGTGTGAAGCTTTATAGGGCAAATGAATATATGTATACGAATTTCTGGGCTCTAGTGTCAATTACATAATCAAATTTCATAAGAGAATGTTAGCTCCTGGCTGTGTTGTCTTAAAATTTACTAACACTACAACATGTCTGTCAAGTTATACTTTTAATTTGTGCATAGCTTTAGGGAATTAATTTCTTAAACCAAATTATGAAAAAGTAACAATGGAATCTGCTAAGAGGAAAAAGTGTACAAAGCTTTCTGAATGATATTATCCCTTATGCTTAAAGGCTCAGATGCTTGAATAACTTTTCCGAAGTTAATAAACATGAGATGATGAAAGCAGGAGTTTTAATCTTTATTATAACACGTCTGTGTTCATAAGTGTTGTAAATACACAGAAACATCTTCGGGCATTATCATACAACTAATATTTACTTACATACATTTGAGTTACTCCTTAGCAAGCTTAGCGTTACAGCAATATTGCTCAACTTGGTCTGTTTTATGTAGGCTTAATTTTTTTTTTTTTTTTTTTTGAGATGGAGTCTCGCTCTGTCGCCTAGGCTGGAGTGCAGTGGTGCTGTCTCCGCTCACCACAACATCCGCCTCCCGGGCTCAAACGATTCTCCTGCCTCAGCCTCCAGAGTAGCTGGGATTACAGGTGTGCCACCACCATCCCCGGCTAATTTTTGTATTTTTAGTAGAGATTGGGTTTCACCAGCTGGTCAGGCTGGTCTCAAACTCCTGACCTTGTGATCCTCCTACCTTGGCCTCCCACAGTGCTGGGATTACAGGTGTGAGCCATCACATCAGGCCTAAAATTTTTCTTAATACTTTGCTTGTTTTGTTTTGTTTCCGTTTTGGGGGATTTGGGTGTTTTTTTTGTTGTTTGTTTGAGACAGTGCCTTGCTCCAGGCTGGAGTGCGGTAGTGCAATCACAGCTCACTGAGGCCCTGATTTCCTTGGCTCAAGCGATCTTCCCACCTCAGCCTCCCAGGTAGCTGGAACTCCAAACACACACCACTGCTCCTGGCTAATCTTTTTTTTTTTTTTGGTTTGCACCATGAGATGGGTTTGCACCATGTTGCCCAGGCTGGTCTCAAACTCCTGGGCTCAACCCTCAATCACCCCCCACCTCAGCCTTCCAAAGTGGTAGTATTACAGGTGTGAGCTGCTGGGCCTGGGCTTTAATTTTCTTTAATAGATATTGCAATATTGTTCATTTTATCTTATAAGATAGGTTTATCTGAAGCACCACTCAATATTATGTAGATTAAACTTTATCTTCTCATCCCCATATTGTAAAGGGTGGTATATAGATTGATCTGGTCAACTATCACAGGGTAAGCTGGCCATTAATATTCTTTCATTGTAAGGTTACTTTGACAGTATATCTGTGCTAGCACAGATTGTAAACAAAATTGAGGTTGAACTTCCAACATTGAATTGACTAAATACGTTTGTTTAGATGTAAGCAAGGGGAGTATGTTGTATAGATGTGAAAGAAAAACTAATCAGGCCAGGCACAGTGGCTCAAGCCTGTAATCCCAGCACTTTGGGAGGCCGGGGTGGGTGGATCACGAGGTCAAGAGATCGAGATCATCCTGGCCAACATGGTGAAACCCCGTCCCTACTAAAAATACAAAAATTAGCTGGCGTGGTAGTGCAGGCCTGTGGTCCCAGCTACTCGGGAGGCTGAGGCAGGAGAATTGCTTG